AATGCAACACCGCCTTACAAAAGTCATCGCCCACAATACTCCAAGCCGCCTTAAAGAAGCCCACTGAGAACCCATCCGGACCAGGAGCCTTACCAATATTCATCGAAAACAACACTTCCCACACCTCCAGAGAAGTAACAGGACGACATAACTCCACCCCACACTCAGGAGGCCACACAAAATCCACAATAGCAGCCAGACGAGCAGTAAGATCACGATAACCTACACACTCAGACCCCATCAACCGACGATAAAAACCAACCGTCAGTCGAGCAATCTCAGCGCGATCAGTAACAACCCGACCTACATCATCAGTCAAAGAGGCAAGATCATTCCGAACAATCCGGTCGCGAACACAACGGTGGAAAAAAGTAGAGTTCTGGTCTCCCAAAGATAGCCACCGGACCTGGGACTTCTGTCGCAACGAAGCCTCCTCCATCACAGCCCAGTCCCAGAAATCACGAGTGGCGACCCTCTCCTCCTCCTGAGCACCTATCGAAGAAGGGACACTCAAAAGTAAAGCCTGAGTAGCAAGCATACGAGCACGTGCCTCCTGCACACCCTTCTGGATAGTATCAATCTGATGACCGAAACGACGCAACACAGGCTTCAAAGCACGAAGATTCATACCAAAACTCACAAGAGGCGAAACCTGAGAATGAACCTGCCACGTGTCCCGAACGACTGACAAGAACAGGGGATCAGAAGCCCAATAGTCAAAGAACTGAAAAGACGGGCGGCCCTTAGGCACCACAGTACCAACAAGAAAAACAAGAGGGCAATGATCAGAGACACCCCACTCACGAACCTGAACCTCAAAAACAGGCATGGAACCAAACCAAGCGGAATTGACCAAAACACGATCAAGGTGCTTGAGAATAAGACCAGCCCCCAAATGTTTATTTGTCCAGGTGAACCATGATCCAGAAACACGAGGCTCCACCAAATCAGCCTGTAACAAAACATCATCAAAACGCTCCATATCTGATAAGAAAACAATAGCCAATTGGATCTAAGAACCCTTATGGTTATGCAAACCCCCAGATCACAAATGCTAAAACCCCCAAATCGAGATGATGTCAACCCAAGGAAGAAGTTAGAACGGATTTACCTTGATGATCAATATCAAGAGTAGAGAAAACTTGTTTCTAAACTCAAGATTTGAACCACTCCACAAGATAGCTTGATCAAGGCTACTTGAATGATTCTAGCATGCAAATCTAACACCCAAGAATTGCAAAGAAAAACAAGCTCTAGGCTTTTGAAGCTAAATAGCAACTTTCATTCAACATCAAAAATCTGTATCTCAAAGGAAACAAACTAGGCTATTTATAGCCTCCAAAACAACCTTAAGAGTAACCTAAAGGCATTTGAAAGGTTGTAACTCCCAATTACATTATGGCCATAACATCCACTAGCTAAAATGTAACTTAAAACACATAAATGAAATGTTTAAAACTGAAAATATAATAAAAAGAGGTTTAAATCCGAGAATTGAAGTCTTGGTCACCCTTCAAAGTCTTTGTAACCTCCCAATTATAAATGAAGCTTTACTTGAAGTAGTTTGAAGTGTAGTTCCATTAATTGATGGATGACTTGCAATAAATGAAGCTTGAGATGCACTTAAGTTCATTTAATGCAACTTGAGTTCCTTGAATTGAACTTGGCTTTATTGAATGCAACTTGAGTTAAACTCCACTTAAACTTCAGCTCCTTTAAATGAACTTAGAGTTTATTTAATGCAACGCCTCCCTTAAGTTCTACTTGGAAGATATTGACTTGAAAAGTTCCATCTCTCTCTTGATCTTCCCTAGCCGAGCTCACCAAGTATTGAACATAAGAAAGTAAAGCTTGTTGTAGCTTCTTGGATCTTGATCTCGTTATGGGTCCTTGAGGCATGACAATGGTGCTTCCTTGGTTCACATCATCCTCCCTCTCTTGAGAAGGATTCGTCCTCGAATCATAGCCATCACCTACATCAAAAGGACTCAAATCAGCAACATTAAAGGTTGCACTAACACCATACTCACCTGGTAAATCAATTTTATAAGCATTGTCGTTGATGCGCTCGAGAACTTGAAATGGACCATCTCTCTCTTGATCTTCCCTAGCCGAGCTCACCAAGTATTGAACATGAGAAAGTAAAGCTTGTTGTAGCTTCTTGGATCTTGATCTCGTTATGGGTCCTTGAGGCATGACAATGGTGCTTCCTTGGTTCACATCAATATCTGTCAAAACAGGACTACCACCCAGCACCTCAGACGAATGCCGAATAGCATTAAAATCACCCATCACCACACCAGGACCACAACATGCCGAACAAATGGACACCAGAGAGTCCCACAACAGAGCCTGCTCAAAGGTGAAATTAGAAGCAAACACAAAGAACCTGCACCGAAAGCTGAGAAACTCGATCAAAAACAACACCATGCACAAACTGATCATAAATAGTAACCGGGGAGAAATCATAACGTCCCGGGCGCCACAACACCCAAATCCTACCAACACCAGAAGAAGAGTAACTGCTCACGCACTGCCAATGCTCCTGGAAGGGGCGAAAGACAGGCAAAATTACGCTGCAAAACACGAGTCTCCAAAAGACAACAAAACTCAACACGAACACTACCCAGAAAAGAGCGGACCTCACGGCCCTTTGCGGCGACATTCAAACCCCGCACATTCCACGAGCACCAACTACTCATGGGCTACAGAAGGGGAAGAAGAACCCGCCCTGGAAACAGGAGACAAGCGACGACGACGAGAGACAACCGTAGTGAAACCCTCCTGATCATCCCCTGAGAAAAAACCATCCCGAAAAAGCAGCGAAAACACCTCCTCACCACCATCCCTAAACGAAGGGCCAGGAAAATGACCATCCGAGACAGCCTTTGATATGAACCAAAGTATCTTAGTGCTCAAGGATTTAAAGGAAGATGTTGGAGAATCCTATGTCCAAGTTGACAACAAATCAGAGTTGCATTAAATGCACTCTAGTTTCATTTATGACCAACTCAAGTTGCATTCATGGAAGTCAAAGTTGAACTCAAGATGCATTCATGAAAGTCAAAGTGAACTCAAGATGCATTAATGGAAGTCAAAGTTGAACTCAAGTTGCATTCAATGAACTTAAGTACATCTCAAGCTTCATTTGTTGCAAGTCATATATCAATTAATGGAACTACACTTAATACTACTTCAAGTGAAGCTTCATTTACAATTGGGAGGTTACAAAGACTTTGAAGGGTGACCAAGACTTCAATTCTCGGATTTAAACCAATTTTTATTATATTTTCAGTTTTAAACATTTCATTTATGTGTTTTAAGTTACATTTTAGCTAGTGGATGTTATGGCCATCATGTAATTGGGACCCCGAGGCGCCTTAGGAACCCAGGCCTGCTCAACGGAACAAGTCGAATCAGAATGACAAAAGATACAACATTTCGAACACCGTCGTGGCTTCTAGGCATACTCAACAGCAACTGTAAACAAGACATCACGAACCTTCACCTTAACAGACGATGGAAAGGAAGAAGCAGCGCGCATCTCCACATAAATACGGGCAAAGGACAGGCGGCTACGATCCTCAGTAGCCTTATCAAGACACAGAGGCACACCCAACACACTGGCAATAACACTAAGCCCCCGGGGAGTCCACAGTTCAAGCGGAATATTAGACAATTTAACCCAGACTGGAACAGAAACAAAAGAAAAAGACTGAGGAACAATACTAGGAATCCAAGGACGAAGGAAGAGCGGCTTCCCCCCAATGTGCCACGGCCCATGGGACAGAACCCAATCACATGAAGAAGCAGGCAGGAACTGGAACACAATGAGCCCATCATCCAGATAAGTAATAACCGACTCCTCCACACTTGCCCAAATCCGAGCCACCAGACGGGAAACCACAGCAAAAGGAGGCCGAGAGTCCAGAAATTGACCCACCAAAGAATTAGCCCACAACTTCTCTCTCTCCCCAACAATGACATTAGA